TTCACATATATGTTGAATTTAGTCTATTATTTGGGCTCCTTCAAGTCTTAATTTGCATAATAGTCTGCAGATATTAAGCAGCAATGAGTTTAAACATTAGAAAGTCTTCTAGTCTTAAATGTTTTAATGGTACAGTCTGATTTGGTAAATTGAAATATTTTATGTACATTTTAATCTTAAAGGTAGGATAGATGCACACGACAGGGGTGCCCTTTGTCACCTCTCCTTTTTGCCATTGCAATTGAACCGCTAGCTATTGCTCTGAGACACTGTGTTGAGGTTGAGGGAATACGTTGTGGGGATATCGAGCATAAAGTCTCTCTTTATGCCGACGACATGCTCTTGTTTATTTCCAACTCTTCAAATAGCCTCCCTAAACTTTTAGATGTACTCAAGGAATTCGGGACAATTTCCGGATATAAGGTGAATTTCGGGAAAAGCGAGGCAATGCCTTTAGGTACAATAACCGGGGAACTTTCGTCTATTTTAGCACCTTTCAAGCTCAGCTATAACAAGTTCAAATACTTGGGCATTTGGATTACGCAGAACCATAGAGACTTGTATAAAACTAATTATCTTCCTTTATTGTCTGAGTTAAAGGAGGATTTTGGAAAGTGGGAGTCCTTGCCTCTTTCGCTGGGTGGTAGATTAAATATCATTAAGATGACTATATTTCCTAAATTTCTATATCTTTTCCAGTGTCTTCCAATTTTTTTTAACTAAGTCATTTTTTAATAATCTAAATAGTCAAATCTCCTCCTTCATTTGGAACAAAAAACCACCTAGGCTGAAACAAAGACCGCGGAGTGCAGGAGGCTTAGCACTCCCAAATTTTTTGTTTTATTACTGGGCAGCTAATATAAGGGCATTATTGTACTGGATAAAAGACCATGATAATTTATCATCATCATGGGTAACACTGGAGCAGCTGTCGGTGAGTCAATCCTCCCTGATGTCTTTGCTGTGTGCCAGATTACCTCTGGCGGGACCGATCTCCAGCTTCACCACGAATCCTCTTGTTGTCCACTCACTGAAATTATGGTATCAGCTCAGACGGCACTTTAAACAGACTGAACTCTCTCTTAATGCACCACCGCATAGACATTGCATGTTCTCCCCATCCTTAACGGACAAGGCATTTAACATATGGACAAAGCTTGGAATAACATCAATGACTGCTCTTTTCACGGACAATATCTTTTCGATTGTGGCTCAAGATTTGAGAGTTCGCCTTGTAATTGGAAGGTTGCCGGTTCGAGCCCCGGCTTGGACAGTCTCGGTGTTGTGTCCTTGGGCAAGACACTTCACCCGTTGCCTACTGGTGGTGGTCAGAGGGCCCGGTGGCGCCAGTGTCCGGCAGCCTCGCCTCTGTCAGTGCGCCCCAGGGTGGCTGTGGCTACAATGTAGCTTGCCATCACCAGTGTGTGAATGTGTGTGGAATGGGTGGATGACTGGATATGTAAAGCGCTTTGGGGTCCTTAGGGACTAGTAAAGCGCTATATAAATACAGGCCATTTACCATTTTCCTCATTTGAACAGCTGGTGAACAAGTTCAAGATCCCTCAGTCACACTTTTTCAGGTATCTACAACTCAGGAATTTTGTTGCTTCTAATACTGACTGCTTTCCGTCCTGTCCACCTCCATCCCTTTTGGATGATATTTTTGATTTTAAACCAAATGCTAAGCGGGTTATAAGTGATGTTTATGAGCTGTTAAGTAATTTTAGGCTGTCCACATTGCAATCACTTAGGGAACGATGGGGAAGTGATCTTGGCCAACGGATTGCAGATGAGACTTGGCATAAGATAATCAATAGAATTTCTTCGTCATCTATTTGCCTTAAACATGTGGTGATTCAGTTCAAAGTTGTTCACCGTCTCCATTGGTCTAAAACTAGACTGAGCAAAATCAAGGATGGGTTTGACCCCACATGTGACCGGTGCAAACGAGAGCCTGCTTCCCTATTTCACATGTTCTGGGGATGTCCAAAACTGGGTGGCTTTTGGAAAAGCATATTTGAAACCATGTCCAACATATTTGGTGTTCCAATTGCACCCTGCCCGTTTATAGCTATTTTTGGGGTGACGCCTTGTGATGCCAGTCTTTCCAAATCACACTCTGATCTTCTGGCCTTTTGCACTCTTTTGGCCCGTAGAATGATATTATTGAAATGGAAAGAGCCACTTCCACCTGTATATGGGCAATGGGTTAAGGATGTCATGTACTATACTCAGCTGGAAAAGATCCGCTACACTGTAAAAGGTTCGGTTTGGAGGTTTTATGACACATGGCAACCTTTTCTTACTTACTTTGAAAGATTACGTCCGGATACTATTGCTTAATGTGCATGTGAGTGGTTTTTTTGGGTTTTTTTGGGGGTTTTTTGTTGTTGTTTTTCTCCCTTGCCGTTGTTCATTTATTTTATTATCTACTTTGTATCTGTAATTTTATTTTATTTTATCTCTTCTTTCCTCTCTGGCTGGGTTTTAGTTACACTGTTCTGGATTGGGGGGGGCACGACTGTTTGTCATTATTGCCATAATTGTTGTTGGAAGCAATTCTTTGTTCAATAAAAAGACCTTGATCAAAAAAAAAAAAAGGTAGGATAGATAAATAAGAAACCAGTTTTACCGTTGGCACTTGATAATACAGCCCACAGCGGGTGCAGTTCTCCTAGAATTAAATGAAATCTTCTTCGATTATGTGAAATTGTGATACAAAGTGTTTCCTACTTACAGTTAAAAAGTAAACACCATTAAACTTTGTGGGTCAAAGGCTCTTTATTGTCTTTTAATGATGGGTTTTATCAAAAATATTAGTTGTTTTGTGCAAACTTTTCAATCATAAGTTACAAAAAGGCTGTAAAAAGTAGAGTCATGTGAATAGAATTTTTATTTTTCTATTATCTTTTTGATTATCTTTTTGGTGTAAATTTGACCAAACGTAATAATAATAATGATGTCTGCACAGACAGGATCCGATGCACTTTTTGAACAAATGCCCTCAACTGAAGGACGAGTTTAAGTAAATGAAAAGAATTTTTTTTCCTATTAAATGGTGTTTGTCCTGTTATGCTTATTTCAATTTGTTTATCCAAGTGTTATTTTTTCATGTTCTTGTTGTGTTTGTTGCATTCAGTATAATTTCCTTTTGTGTGTGTTGTATTTATTTTTTATTAAAAGCTTCTGAATGCAAATCACCCTAAACAGTGAAAGGGAGAACAATCCTTATCACATTTTACATCTCTTATCAGAGTATAACTGAATAGTCAAAAATCCCTCATACAAACAAAAACAACGTGTAATTACGCTGTAAGATCGGAAAACTATGCCACTTCAGCCTGCTTCCATTAAAGGTATTACCCATTTACAGAGTCAGTCAGGGAAATATGTTTATTTCTATGCAGAAATACATGGAAGATAATCGCTACGTAAATGTAATATATAATAATTTCTTCTTTCCTGTAAAAACTTGAATTTTCACCCCTTATTCCAGTGTATACGGATAAGCATTAGTTTGTAAATATAATTACCTTGTTATTCTAAGATAAAAGACCTTGAAATTCCTTCCATATTATAAAGTGCTACAGATTTTCTTGCTACAGTCACAGCACTGTTCAGATGAGACAGGCAAAGTAAGCTCATAATCCTGTCTGAAAACAAGTATGTCCAATTTTAAAATGTGGTGAAAAATGGGAAATAATGAACTTCATCTGTTTGCAGTTATCAGTCTTTACCATCATGGTAAAAATAAAGATTTTACATATACATTGTATATACATAACTACCAAACACGACATCTTACACCACATCATTATTTATTTTATTTTATTTTATTTTTTTTTTTAGCAAAAAGTACGCTAAAATGCAGAAGCAATGTGTGAAAATCAGTAGCTTGCAGCACCATCTTTAGCAGCAATAATGCGAAGTAATTGTTTTCTGTGGGACTCTATCAGTCCCTCACATTATTCTCTTCTGTACCAGGTTGCTTTTTTTCATTGAGAGTTGTAACCACTGATTTATCTGCAGCTCTCTCACAGCATCTCAATCAGGTTGAGGTCTGGACATTGGGCTGTTGCAGCACCTTGATTTGTTTCTTTTTCAGTCATTCTGTTATGGGTTTGCTGGTGTGTTTGGGATCATTGACCTGTTGCTTGACCTAATTTTGCCCAAGCTTTGCCTGTCGGACAGATGGCCCTTCAGACTTAATGACTCCAAGGTGCCCAGGTCCTGTGACTGCTAAACAAACCCAAATCGTCACCCCCTCCACCACCGTGCTTGACTGGTGATGTGATGTATTTGTGCTGATAGGCTGTGTTTGGTTTTCCCCAAATACAGCACTGTGCATCAAACACCTCGACTCTCTTGTCTGTCCAAAGGAGACTGTTCCAGAAGTTTGGTGGTTTGTTTAAATGCAAAACCTGAGCAGTGCTTTGAAAACCATGCTGCCATGGTGTTTTTATAGTAAGGAGGCTTTCTTCTTTTCAAGTAAGCCATACTTGTTTAGTCTGTTTGAACTGTACTGTCATGAACTTTAATATTTAAGATGCTAACTGAGGCCTGTAGCTCTTGGATTTTTTGCAGTTTCCCTGAAACTGAATGTTTTCCACTTCTGAATTATCTTTCTTACTGCAGTGTATTTACATAATTGTAAGAGCTGCTAAGGGCTGGATTATTATTATGTCCTGATACATAAAAATGTAAAATTGAAAGACTGTGTTTTGTACATTTCTTTGCATTTATCTTTCTGTGATTCTATAGTAGTAAACAGTAATTTATTTCATTTTTGAAGAGAAAATAGAGTATTTAGGATGGCAGGTTGAGGTTCTTTTGAAAAAGAATAGCTAAAACATGCAGGTGGACTAATTCATTTTTAGTTTGTGAACTTGGTTCTGTATTTTAAAGCGTGGACTTTAATTGTGAACTAGTTCATTTTATTCTGCGTGGTCCGAAGTTTCCCATTTGCGCAGATGCAAACCTTAAGGACAACAAAAGCAGCATAAGCTAAATAAATGATTTATTGTACAAAAGAAAAATGACAGTAAATAAACAACAAAAGGCAAAAATAATTGAACAGTTACTCATATGCACAACCATAGAACTACAAACGTGGGGTGATTTTTCTTTTTCTTTAACTACACAAAGAACAGAGGGATGAAGAGGGAAAGAGAGAAAAACATTAGAAGCGGTGAACCTGTCCAAAACATCATAAATGTCAACATTTGGGTTGGTATTTACATTTCTTACTCTCATATAATTATATGGAAAAAAAACCCTCTTACATATACCAGTATACAAAGACTAAAATTCAAAATGCAACTTCTCAACAGCGTTAACCATAGTTAATATTTTGACCACGCGTTACCAGAACTGGTACCATCAGTCACTCTGTCAATAACTCAATCTGAACCTGAGAGCAAGGGGACCCTGTGGTTTTCATCTGTTTTTGGAAGGTTGGGGTGGGGGTGGGGATGTTCTTATGAGTAAAAGTTTCTGATAAACTGATAGCAAATTTTTAGGCTAACGTGAGGTAGACAGACTTTGAAATGCATTGTATTTAATATTAATAAATAAAAATGGACCAGCTTTTTCTTTTTTTTTTAACCCAACCACTGCCCCTAAACCAACTTTTTTCCCTCCCTTTGAAATTTTCTAGCATATTCCTGCAATTACAAAAGTTACAGCACACAACATGTCATTCTCTACTTTGGCTAACAGTCCCTGGGTACTCCTCCCATTCTTACATGGGTGCTTTCACTTAAAACACACACAAAGGCAAAAGCAAACAAACAAAACCAAAAAATATAAAATCCCCCCCAAACTTCTACGTAAGACACTCGACTCATTTTTTTTTTACGTCAAAAGAATGAAGTCTCTCTAATGCGGTGACAGGTTAAAGTTGATGGGCGGGCCTTTTCCAGTTAAAGCATTCTACAGTCATTGATCCAGACACTTATTACGCACAAGACTTATCAGCCAAAGCGGGCGTGGAGGCCTTTCAGGCCGCTGCTACAGTACATCCAGGTTCAAGATTTGATAGAGATCTGTGAGTGTATGGACAGGCCCCCGCTTCAGACAAAGTCAGGAAAGTGTGATGGCATCCAAAAGAAGTGATAACCTCGCTAGTTTATGGTTCATCACCAGAAGCTTGAATAGTTTCTTTTTTTTTAACCTATACTGTACAAGCTCTCTTGTGCTTGGTAAAACACAACACTTACCTCCTCACGCCATGAACGTCCCATAGTGCAAAATTTATTGTTGGTAAGGTAGAGTGCCCCCAAAAAGGTTTTTGTACCCCTCTTTTTTTAATATATACATATATCATTTATATATAATGTCAGAAGGCTCTTCCTTTATCCAACAGCATAGTGCTTTCGTTTATAACAAAAGGATATCTTTGCTTTGATACCCAGGAGACAAAGACAAGCTTCAAGCATACTAATTCTACTCTGCGTTCAAGCACTAACAAATACTTTTTTTTCCCATTATGACAGCGATGATACAGTTGAGGTTGATGTGGATGGGGGCATTTCAAAATGCAGTCAAATATGTTTTCGAAGCTAAAATCAGTGGTTGAGTTAAATTATCTTTTTTTTGTTTGTTTTCTTTGCTGTAAATCATAAAAGCTAAAATGTCTTAGTACATTACTGCACTTTTGCATTTGTATTTTTATCCATTCTGAAACTAGCAAAAAAAAAAAAAAGAACAAGCATGAACTGGTGTGTCAGGAGTAATGCATCTACCACAAACACTGCACAAAAAGAAATGTAAACTTAAAGTGATAAAACTGTAATCGTGGTTTGTGTTAATTTCAGCTCAATTATTCACTTAGGACATAGTGAGCATTGAGTCTTTTATTTCAGGGTATGCATTTTGTTGTTTTGTTATTTTTTTTTTTATTACATATTCAGTCCCGAGCCTCTTCAAGTTATAAAACAGTGCATTTAACTCTCTGTTTTAAACATTTACTGCAAAAGCTGAACGTGATTTTCCTTTGTTGGATAAATTAAAAACAAAACAAAAAAAAACAAAACAAAAAAAAAAACGCAAAGCCTGCCCTCTTCCTTCTCCCCAAAACAGTACTGAATAACTTGGTGCATCTGGATTTCAGTTTTTCTTTAGACTTCAGTGTGCAAGGTAAACTCTTTTTTGCCAAATGGTTAACAGCAATACTGAGTTTATGTAACTGTTTTTAAATGTGGAGCTGAACTAGTAAAGTAAGGTCCATAGATTTTTGGACTAAGATGGTTTTTAGATTTTTGCCCCTTTACACCACTGCAATGGATTTTAAATAAAACAAGCAAGATGTGATTGAAGTTCAGGATATTAATTAATTGTTTAGGAATTCATTCATTTTTATCATAGTTCTCATACCCATAGTTTCCATAGCTTTCAAAGGCTCAAAAGTAATTGGACAATTTACGGACTGCAGGTTTTAGATGTGTGCTTGATCCAACTCAGCTGATTTAAATGGCTAAATTACCTCCTCAACATGTCTTGAAGTTCTCCAGATGCCTGGTAATGAACTAACCATTAGATTCAGGTGTGTTGACCCAGGGTGAGCCCTAAAACCTGTAGGACACCAGCTCTTGAGGCCTGGAGTTCCCCATCACTGCAGTAGAGCATGCATCTCAGAGGGTAGCTTTTACTGTAGACTGCATTTTAGTATTCAACTATTCAAACAATAGTTCAATTCAAAAATTCAACTATTAAAACAATTCTTATATTTAAACTATAATAATTTACGCAGTTAATTTTAAACCACTGAAAATGGGGAACTATATATGAAAATAGTTCCTAAACAGTTAACGCCATACTTTTGTTAAACCCCTTAAATTAAGGCTGAACTTGAATCACATCCTAAGGGTTTGATTTGAAAGCCTCTCTCATTACAGAGGCCAAATTACATATTACATAACATGTTATGGACCATCTGTATAACCCTTTCTTAATATTTAATTACAAAAATCTAAAAACAAACAAACAAACAAAACAAATCAAAGTTGCCGTGGAGAGATTTTGGAGATACTTGAAAATGTCAAACTCAGGTAATACACATTAAAAGAGGGTGCAGTTTTATTTTCTTTGTTTGTTTGTTTGTTTCTTTTTTTTTTGGATATCTCTAATACTCTTAGGAAGATTTTGGATTTCATCTAATGGTACGTCCAGAAGTTAAACCTATTCACATCGTGTTTGTTTTTGTTTCTGAGCTTTTGTTAAAGTGATGGATTGCAAAATAATTTTGATAATGCCCCTTTGAGAACATTTTTATCACACTGGAAGTAAACGTATTTGTGGAATGAAGTATTTGCGAACTCACCTCAAAACTGGAATTGCTCTTAAAAGTGTAAATACTCCTGTCTCCTGTCATTTCAATCCACTAACCTGGATATTTCACAAAGATGTCATTAAAAAAATATTTTAAAAACCCACAAAACTAACATATGTCCTATAGCGCCTCATTTACCACTTTCGAAAGGTGCTCCACAAGTACAGCCTCTTTAAATCATTCATAATGTATGGTATTTCCATCACTCAGTTCTGTTTTGATTCTTATTTCATTTATAACTTTTTTGTACAGATAGAATCAGTTTAATTACTGGACAAATGGAAACCCAGTGGAATGCTTTTGTGGCTGAGCAGAAGTGAAATCTGGTGCCGAGGAGTGGGTTCTGGTGCCAGGGGAGAGCTCAGAAAGGGTTTCAGGTGGTTTAATGTGGGCTTTACACAAATGTGCTTCCTCCAGCAGCCTAAGAGCAGCCACATCGATCCACCACCATCCCTGGAATCTTGCCGTGAATGATCTGCTGCTTGTCATTGAAGTAGAGCATGTTAATGGGAGACATCTTGGTTGGGGTGCAGCAGGGCCCCGCGGAGCCTCGCGGGTTGGCGTGCTGCACCAGGTGGGTGTGCGGGTATTTCTGCATGAACATGTACTCGCACTGGCCAGAGCAGTAGTTCGCTTTGTAGCGTTTAGGGGCAATGATCCAATCCCAGCCGAACGCCTCAAAGTCCACAGTTAGAGGGTAGCGACAGCAGCGAGACTCAGTGGAGTGCTCATCGCAGTCCAGGCCGAGGTTTCTCCGAGAACGTTTGGTTGTCTCAAGAACCTTCACCTCCAGAAACGGCTGCTGGAATCAGGGGGAGGAGGGGCAGGACAAAAAGAAAGAGGTGGTTATAAGAGAACAACAGCAGAGACATGACAGCAAAGGAAAATACAATAAACTGACAATTGGCTAATGCAAACATTTAGATAACATCAGTTATTTTCAACATTTTGGTCTGAGAATTTAGTGTGTCTCGTATGTGTTTATTTTAAACTCTTACATTTTGGTGGTATAATGAGTCAAGGAAATAAAATGTTCCAGTAACAGAGCATACTAACCACTAGACATGGGTAAAGCAGACTTGGATTTGTCAGATTTCAAGATGACAGATGGTTGATGATCCTTAAGGCCTTTCACATAGAATGCAAGAACCCTAGAAGCGATTCTTTTCTATGGCCTGTGCTGTGCAATGATGGTTTGTCACAGTGTTGAAAAAAGCAGAGCAGAATGTGCCAGCTGAGGTCAAGCTTCACCTTGTAATGTAGATTTGTGTAACCAATAGATATGCAGAATGACAAGAAGCGGGCCCATACTGACATTTACTTGTGGTTTTCGCTGTTGCAAGTAAAAACCACATTGTCTTGTCAACCATGTTGAATATGTGATAATGTAGGGTAAAATGAATAGAGCACCAGTCAATCAGGACTAGAGAATCGTCCATGGAAACCACCAGTCATTGGTGTTGACAAAAGGTTCCCTGTGATTGCTTTGATAGCTAGCATATAGTTGCCATCATACTTTGAATGGAAGTGAAGGGCTTACAAAAACTGTCCAGCTACTGTACAAGTTCTTGTGAAATCGTAAAAAGTGTGACACTATCAGAAATAAAGAAGTTTTGCCTTCAAAGAAAAAGTTGCCTACATGATTGTGGCTTTAGCCATCAACTGCCAGCAACAATTCACAACTGGTTGGGGAATGCTCATTTTACCTGGCAACCACAATACCTGGTGGTTGCCAGGTACTGTAAAACCAACTCTTGCCCTGTGTGACTGGGGGTTAGTGCTATTAACTGTTTTAACTCATCTCAGTCAGTCTAGCTGGACAGCAACCAACTCTTTTAACCTATTACCATACGGCAATGATAACTGATATTTCGAATATACTTCTAAATGAATCATATCTATTTTATTTTATTTTATTTTATTTTTTTTTCATGTGAATGGAGAATGTTTTTGCATTATATATGCTTCTCTTGGGCAGTATTGTTAGAAGATATAGCATACATTTTTAATGCTATGCAGATGACACCCAGCTTTATCTATACATGAAGGCAGATGACATACACCAATTAGTTAAACTACAGACATGTCTTAAAGACATATAGACCTGGATGACCTCTAATTTCCTGCTTTTACATTCTGATAAAAATTATAAAAAATTTTTTTCCCTTAGTTCCACATAATGCACGGAGCCTTTCTTCTACACTCTGAATTTAATAATGTAATCATTAGTAATAATTTCAAACTCCGGCTCTCTGTGTGTGTCTTTTGTCCTGTCTTTCTACCCACACCCCCAAACAGTTGCACCAGATGGCTCCCCCTCCCTGAGCCCGGCTTTGCTGGAGGTTTCGTCCTGTTAAAACCAAGTTTTTCTTTCTCACTGTTATCAAGTGTTTGCTCATAGGCAGTTATCTGACTGTTGGGATTTTCTATGTATTATAGGAATTGCACCATTCATCAACTGGATTCTTACAATCAACCAAATCTTTCTTTCTTCAGCTCTGATTAGAACATTTTATCCATCCACACGTCATTTTTGTGCAGTGCATATTCAACCACACAAAGAAAACCACACTTTGGGAAGTCGTTACGCCTGTCTGCTATTTGTGATGAAACAGTTTACTTCTGTTCTAGTTTATTTCCTCTATTTATTTGTGGGAATAAAAAACATAATTAAAGAACAAAGCAGTGTTTTAATCAGCATCCTTGGACATCTGTTTCTGGAATAAGCCTGACTAACTGTTTCTCCCTTCTTCCAATCTTTGCACTAGGCTAAACTGCAGCAGCTTCATATTCTCAATACTGTAAATATTATAATCAAACTTTGGTAATAAAAAGTAACTTATTTTCTAAAATCCTGAACTATTTCTTTATTATCTTGAACTGAGAACAAATAAAGAGTCTGACATAGACAGGCAGGGTGCTGCAGGCAGAGAATCGGCCGACCCTTACTTGCTTAATCTTCTGTTTCACTCTAAAAGGATTCATAATCTAAAACATTTATATTACAAATAAGATTTAAAGCCACTGACTGAGATATCATCAATGCATTTTTCAACCTAAGGTGTTGCCTCCTGCTGCCCTTTAGAGAGAGTGCAGCTTCAGATTTGTAAGCTATGGCCAAGATTTTATACATGTCTGTAAATGTTGAATGAATATTATTATCTTTACCTGCACAATATATATGTTAAAAAATTTGCAAACATCTCACCTCATGCAAGGGAGGGGGCAGTCAGTGCATTTTAAATAAAGACACCAATAATCACACCAACTCAATCCACCACAAAATGGATTCAGTGAGTTAAGTACAAAAACCCAATAAAGTGACTTCAGAGTAGTTATTTACGGAGGTGGCAAAAGTAAAGACATTTTGTACTTAAGTAGAAGCACAGACTATCAGTACTAAAATGAAAACGAGTAAGGAAGAGGTTAAAGTGTGATTCAGCATGTGGAGGAACCCTAAAATCAGTTCTAATGGCTCGCGATCGGGAAAGGGACTCATGACTCTCAATAATTTCTATTGAGAGCTCTATTGGATTTTCTTAATGTACAGGCTGTTTTCAGCTGATCTAGTCTGCTACTGCTCTGAGTGTTACTGCTTCTTGTGGATTTACACAACTGAATTGAACCAGATGTAAGCAGATGAGTTGTCCTGGCCTATTTTCATTCTCTACAATGACAGTCTTTATGTTTGTCTTTATGGGTCTTAACATCATCAGCTTAATTTCAAATTCATCTCTGCTACACTTGATGTAACCTAACGCTGACCATGAGCACCACAGCCACTGTGCACCAGTTACACACACTGTTCTTTACTTTGAACCCACCAGAGTACAGCAAACTAATCTGTTTATCCTGCAGTAAACTGCTGATTTTTTTTCATGCCACCTTTAAATGACACAGTTAGTCTCCCTCAGAGACCTGCATTGCAGCAGGTCTCACAATTTGAAAAAACATAATGACACAATACCTATTTTAAAAACACTAGGACTACCACTGAGCAGTCCTTACTTTTAAATATAACCTCTCTTTCTTCATCTCCGAGTGAAGTTAGTTCTCTTTTTTTCTCTCCCTGCGAAATACAGCAGCTGGAAAAAACTGGACACAAACAGTTTAACCCCTGATTATAACACGTGGTTTTACCTCTTTTGTCTCTTTTTATGCGACATCCTCTAGTGATTAATAGACTAACAGGACTGCTTTTCATGTGTTACTGTTAAGGCTCAGATTGGTTTGATGTTCTAGGGCTCGCAGTGACATGAAATAATAATTTCCCTCAAATCTGTCAAAACCATAAGTAATGAGTCTGTTTTGCAAATGTAAGGAGTAGAAAGTACAGATACTTGTTTGAAAATGTAGGGAGTACAGATACAGATACCCCAAAATTCTACTTAAGCACAGTAACGAAGTATTTGCACTTTGTTATAGCAACATGATGAGCATTAAAAGAGTTACAAATGTAGCCTAAAAATCACAGAAGAAATAACAGATATATCATAAAATCCTTGATAAAGATGAGTGCTGTATACATACAGTGATGACTTACTGTCAATTGTCATACTGTCTTACTGAGGCACTTTAATGATTGTTACTAGTAATATCTGTGCTAAAATAAGCAATTGATATCTGAAATAAAAGTCTAGTAATTGTACAAATAGCATGTCCCCGTACCACAGTTGCAGATTCTGTAAGCTTTGTGCCATGTCAGGTGCTCAATTCATCTAACAAACCATATGGGCTCTTGACTCTATCGTAAATGAAACATTTACAATGCTGTGACATACGGTTTATAACTCCATCATTAATATTCATGTGGTGATCTGGACATCTGTGTGCAAAGGATCTGATGGGAAAGTAGAAATCTCTGATACTAAATAATGTAAGAGCAAATATATTTTCTCTACAAAGACTTTGATCTACTTTAACGAAACTAAATGGATTTCATAGCACTTCGCTCACACGGCAAGCATTTTCAGCCCCTAACTCTTTTTCTACTGAACTCTGAGTACAAAGAATACAAAGAAACCACACTTGTAAGTATAAAAAGAAAAGAAAAAGAATTAAATTCAATAGTCATTTTATAATTAACTAAAATGTATGAATTAATTTGTCAGCTTTGAATAGGAAACACAACTTTCCATTTGAGCACTGACTCCATGGGCTTTGAGAGAAACTGGTCTATTCAAACATCGATAGCTGACTCTGTACGCTTGGTTTGATTCATGACCCAAGAGGTCATCTGCAGGCTACCATAACCTTGACCTTTGGGCAGAGGCGAGCACATCAAATATTTTACTCCATCATGTTTGTTTTACAAAGCCTTCTTCTCCTCACAGTGATTCCAGCTGGGCTCGAGCACACTGAAAAGAGGAAATAAGCTGAAAGGCTGTTGGGGTGAGACCATGTCAGCCTGGCCTTTAGGGCTTTTGTTGTAGAAAAAAGACCCAGAGGATCAGGAAGAAGCAGAGTTTGACTCTTTCATGTCTTTCTTGTTGTGTTTTGTTTTATTTTTGTACACTTGCATGTCTTTTTGATCTTTTCCTTTTTCTTGGGTTACCAAGAATAATATAGCACACTGCTGTGTGCTCAGAAGGCAGCGATTTATTGGCCAAGACACCAGAGCTGACCCCTGATACGTGTTGTGAAGAGCTGACCCAAATAATCACTTGGTAAATATTTGGTGTTGCTTAACCAGGATAGATGGCCTACATAATCCAACAGGGATGTTGTAACTGTCAGTTGCAGTAACTCTGGGATTGCTAACTAGACTAATGGTTCATGAGTTTTCCTTTGAGGTTTAAGGTTGAAGCAGCTCCATCCATTACATCAGAGGTTTAGCATTGAAAAAAGTGAAGCATACTTGCAGTGTGGAAAAAATCCCAAGTATTCAAAGGAACACTGGGTAAAAATTTGTCTTAATTACTTAAAGTTTTCACATTTTCCCCAAGGTGAACCATTGCAAATAAACATGTTTTCGTCCTAGCAGGATCATTTTTAAATGGAGTAGTCCTTTAACTGGCGTTGTTATCTTTAAGAAAGTGGAAAAAAAAAAGATTTCTACCTAAAACTAAATGAATAAAAATCTGATTTTCTGAAAAGTATTTTGCGCAGAAAGAACTTTTTGTATCATTAGACGTCATTAGACTTTGTTGATATCCATAATATGGCGGCCGATCTGAAACAGCTGCGTTCAAGTGGTCACGGCTGTTGTCAGAACCCAGATTTACCAGTAAAGATATGATTTAAATACAGTTTGAAATCATACAGAAAATACGTATGGGAACTCAGGAGTAAAGCATCAAAGGCCTTCAGCAGTTCACTGCGATGTTATGATTGCATGGTGAGGATTTTCTGTTTGATTTAAAATTAATGCAGATTCACAAAAAAACAACAACCAAAAACCATTCTACCCGCTGCAGAGCGGTTGCAGATATTTCTTAATGTAAGGAGGTACATTCAAGGTCTGGTAGTTTTGTGTTGTTTTGGATTTTTTTTGGGCATTTTGGATTTATTTGTTTTTTACTGCTTAAAGTTTTTGCCGCATGTTTTGGTGTTTCTTTCATTAAAGTAATGCTGAGCTTTAGTTGTACTGTAATGTTTGAGCTCAGGTTGCTGTTTAGTTGTTCTAGAGTCTTAGAGCCTATTAAAATCAGGCTTTACTATTAATAAAGTTACAAAATATAATTACCTATCACTGTCTCACTGTCGTCAGCCCAGTTTTTCTAGATTTTAGCATTATACACTCCCCTTTTTGTGGACCTCCAATTTCGTCCGCTTAGACACCCCTGTGTTTTCTTCCTATCTCATTATTGTAGATTTTAAAATATACTTGTCATTTTTTTGTCTCTGTGATACCACATGTTTTTATTTTATTTTATTTTATTTTACAGTCTGCTCAGGATGTTTATCCTGATGTTGTACTTGATGTTAATCTGATATTAGGAAACAATATTGCAATATATGTAAAACTTGGAAGGGGATCATTAAAAAAACACAGTATAGCTGTAGTGGCTCCTCACTAGCGACTGCTATATTTTGTGTATAAATTTTACTCTACGTGCTTCAAAGAGTTTATTGTAGAAGTAAAAATATGTGGAGAGACAGAAATGATGTACAGGATTACTGCCTTCAAGCTTTTTCTTTCACTTTTTTGTTCGATTATTAACACCAACTTATCGACTAATAATATGATCTTCTAATTGCCTTCTTTGAATAAAATCTGAATTTGCATGTGCACAAAGTGATTTCCCTCCCCATCCCAGGGACAGGTCTGAGGGTCCTTACCAGTCCCTCCTCCCCAGGTCGCAGTGAGGTAACTGCCAGGTCATTGCCACTCTCGTCAAAGGCGTTGATGTCGATCCCCCAGTTAGTGTGGGGCTGTTTGAACCAGTTCTGCAGCACGTGCTTAAAGTCAATACTTTGCCAGTGGCCGACCCTGGAGTTGAGCTCTATCTTCAGGGAGCGGATGCGTATGTGGCGGCTGCCCTGCTCTGTGACTGGCTTTAGTCGCAGGATCTGCAGGTAGACGGTGGAGGTCTGCTGCAGCGGTCGCAGATACACCCACAGCTGGGCCTTCAGCACCTTGGTGAACATCAGTTTGGGGCTGAACTTGAAGAAGCAGCAGCTGGGCTTTCCATTCACCTGCACCAGAGGCTCCGCTGTGAAACAGAGGAGAGTCAGATTTATTGAAGCACACGTGGACAGTCGTTTCACCAGCATTAAGAGTGTTTGCATTTTAATCTAAATGCAAAAAAGTACTCATATTTATTCTGGTTTTCCACCTCTAATCGCATGGTTTTTCGTTTTCATCATCATCTTTTCTAAAACAACAGACAAATAAATAAATAAAGTAGTAGCAATTTAATGATCAGTGTTTTGGATGTACAAATGCAAAATCGCCATCATCATCAAAAGGACAAACCAGCACGCTCTGTTCATATGCTGCTAATAAACAAAAGGCATCCCTCCAACTGAGTCATGTGAGGTCTTTAGAAGATAACAAAGAATTAATTAATTAGGAGAATCTGCAGCATCACTCTGCAGCTTTCTTTCTCTACTGTTTCAGAACAGCTTTCATGAATACTCAGAGGAAAACAGAAGCTTCAGTAAAAGTGGGATTTTCTCCTCTCTAATATAAAAATAAACAGTGCGTTGTGAAGGCATCAGAAAGCACATATGCACTACTTCATGCTTTGTAATGGATCATAAAGCCAACGACTGTGATAGGCCTGCATGGCACAAATAAACAGAAGCACTGAATTAGTTAAAAAGGGTTGCACTCTTGAAAGGATACTTCTTATTCTAGATGTAATAGTTTGTAGGTTCTTTGGGGAAAACTATAGTTACTATGTTAGATTGTAAACACCTGGAAAAGTGCCCATAATTTACAGAAACAGTGTGATCTAAACCGAGAGAGATACCTGGTGTTCATTTTACAGCATGACAATGTTAAAAAACAAAACAAAACCCCCCCTAACATTTATTTTAATAAAAGCAGCATGTCTGTAGTAAACTGACAGCCATCCTCAGCCTGTCTGCTTGAAGGCTGTCAGTTATCTATTCAGTTACATGTGTGATTACATTAAGGTTGGAAAACAGATACATTTGCATATAAAAACAAGAATCTGTAATGGTGGCCAGTGGACAGATGGTAACCTTAGATTCCCCTGGGTCACTCATAATGAAATGGCCCACCCCTGAATTTAACTAGCAAAACTAAAACATTTCAAGGTTTCTTTTTTTTCCGAGTGGGTCCCTTTCTTACAAATGTATTTGGGGTCTGGATTAAGGGTTATGTCACAGAACACAAGGCGTCCCCTTAAAGAGCCAGATTTATTCCTGTCATGATCTCGGGCGGGCTCTGGTGTTTTGGTGATTTGCACCACATGTCAGATCTGCACATGGTCATTTACATAGACCTCCATCTGACATAATGACACGTCCATCCATTGAATTCGTTCATTCATTTCCATGTAAAGCATTCATTTACTAAGGGAAATTTATTCTGTACTTATTTGGCATAATAATGTGCCGAGAGTACAATAGAATATTTAAACTGTCCATTATCTCCGAGCAAATCGGACAAATTAAAACTACAGATTCTGCACTTTTAGGAGTTGCGGTTGTCCATCTTTTTAAAAAAGAAAAAAAAAACTGTATCAACTTGTCAATCATTGCTAAATCTGAGGTTGCTCGGGCAACCTGCTTCCTGGGTCAAAAGGTTATTTGGAACCTCAGCCTAGTTAAGAAATGGGATCAGGGGTCAAACCTGTCAGCCTCTTTACATCTCAGGGGTGCTGGGGAGGGGCAGCTCTAACAGCCAGATTGAGTTTGAAGGTCAAGGTCAACCCTTTGGCAATAGTAATATGTCTTTCTTCACGTCACGCCTTTTCACCAGAGAATCGTTGGAAACCTCAGGCGCACACATAACAACGCTGAATCACTTTGTTGTTGTTTTGATTAGGGTGGAGATTCTGCAGCCAATAGTGAATTGTTTATCAAACCAGGAGAGGACACTGCAATTTAATTATGGGCATGCATTGAGGGATAAGAATTCACTGAGGTACAAATGGACTGTCCATTAGAAGAGTCCAAGGCAAGCATTGAATAAGGGCCAAGTTAGGGACAGACGTGGTCCTTCAGCCTGTATTTCCAAGTCATTAGTGAGTGTAAATTATACAGTGTCTCACGCTGGACAAACAATGTTCCTTTTGGGGGGTTGCTGGGGTCACAGCAATTAACGTGGGTGGTGTTGTGTTTGCTCATCAGCACAAAACTGGTAACGAATTATTCTGCAAATTTGCTTGTGATTAATACTTTTTGTTGTTTTGAGTCACTGCAGATGAGGACATGAATACACCAGCACTTCCTTTGCAAACACATTTCATCGCCTTTGTGAGAAAAATCCAACAAATGCTGAGGGGATGAAATGGTCAGTTTCTCAAGCAGAGTAATCCGAGAAGCAGGGCCTGCACGCCGTGATCCAGCGAGGTCCCCGGTTATTAAACACACATGCACAACATATGAGCTACGTCATGTTAAACAATGACTGCATTGATAGGTGAAATCAATTTGTGCCTTTATGGATCCTGTTAGTGCACAAGTCAGAGGAAAACCATGGAGGATGAATGCCTGCAGCTTAATTACACCCCACGCCTTGCCAGAGTGCTCCACGTGTGCAAAACGAGCAGGTCTAGCTTGTAAAGATCCAGAAAAAAAGCGGTGGGACATTTAATCCTTCCACCTGAAGTAACCGCTGTTGAAAAGCTTATAATTTTATGGAGAGACTGTTTTTATGGCTTAATTTCCTGCGCAATTTACACAGGTATAAGCTCTGTGTTTTAACACTGACTTCAATAATGAAGTCAAGATAAGAAGTCTGATTATGCGTCCAGCACCACCTACTGGAGCACAAACACCTCTCTCGTCAGCTAAACTGAAGATGAAAAGTAGAAACTAATTACTTTACAGTAAGAGCACTCACCTCATTTTACTCAAACTGAAATCCAAATTAAAGACGGAAAGAAAGAGACTGTGTTTTTGCAAAGGAAACCAGGTTTGTTTGATTTTCCTCCTCATGTTTCCTGCCTGCTTCATTATTATAGCACTTTATTTCCCTGTGGTATAATTGCAGCATATGTAGCGCATGGATTTTACTGCCAACACGCAGCGGGCCTGCAGGTGAGCCTATCAAACATCTGGTGGACTCCCTGGGTACCTGTGTTCCATGGCTAGCCTCCTATACATGCATGTAAGAGGAGCCTTATAGAATATAAGGGTTTATTCAGCATGCCATCTGTCAGTTTTCATACAGTCCTCGCCCATTTAAATGCTTTTAATAAGTGAACACAGTGACGTTCCTGAGGGATGGATGAGAACTGAGCCGGGTAAGCTGTTGAAAACAGATGGAGAGGGAAAGTTAGGGTGTAGTTATACAATGAATAAGTAATATGAGACCGAGGAATGCACCTACAGTAGAAGGATAGATTTTATACATACATGTATTTATACATACATATATATATATATATATATATATATATATATTAATTACAAAGGTTTCTACTGTTTTGTTGTGGCAACCTGTCCACTCAGTCACATACACAGTATGCCTCAATGTGAACTTATCTGTTATATATCTTAAATTTATTTTTTAAATCAGTCAAAAATGTTCCTTGTCAAATAAAGCAAAGAAACAACTTTTTTAATAGTGAATAACCACATAGTTTGACCAAAGTTCATAAACTGTTTATATCCTTTCCTAACTTGCATTGGAAATTGCAATGACGCCTAGCTGTGCAGCAGATTACACCAATCAGGTGGAAGTACGCGGCTCAGATGTGGTGGTGAGAGAAATGGTCACTTATTGTTAATGTCCACATGGATAATGCATAATAGTATGACCCTAGATAGGAGTTTCATTTGCATATATATCTATATTTTCTTTTCTTAATGGGAAATGCAAATGTGCCATTTTGTAGTGAGTGTGTGTTTGGGAGCCTTCGTGTTGAATAAATGTGACTCTAGGGTATCCCTGCGCACCTCGGCATATTAATCATCGTGACACGTTCACGACCCTTCTAATAAGACAGGGGCCACAGTGCACCCCCTCAAACATCCCATCCCACCCCAGCCCCGCTCCCTCTTTGTTTCTCGGCCAGTCCCAGGGGAAAGGAGAGGGTGGTGGGGGAGGCCGAGCTCGAGCTGAGGATGGAGGATGTGTGTGCGTACTTGTGTGTGTGTATGTGTGTAAAGTTAGACCCCCTCATTCAGAAGCCCTTCCCGGGGACAACGGCAGGCACAAGACTCCTATTAGGACTGAGCACAGTAGCCCCCCAGGAGCAACAAAAGACACCTCCTAATGCACCCTGTTCTAGCTCAGTGAACACACACACATGGAAACACGCAGCCACACATAAATGCACAACATACACCAGCTCCAAACCAACTGCCCTCAGCAAACACAGTAAAACTCATTGTTTTTTTGGAGATTCACATGTTTGTAGCGAAGGGGCACGGCTGCTGGGCAGAAGGATGGGGAGAGCGAGTGCGCATTGAGAACAGCAATAAGGTGGACAGCTGGACAGCATGGAGCACGCCCGGTTCTCACTGCTTGTGTTTGTGTGCAGCCACACATACATGCAGGACATTAAAGCCACAGGACAATGTTCTGCTTTGTTAAATGCAAAACTTTTCTCATGCGTTATACAAGCAAGTAGAGGGTTTTAATTGACTCAAAGGCATTTTTTTAAAAATTGCTATCAGACTTAAGTGAGAATGAACACTAAAATATCAGATGATTATTTAGTTTAATAGACACAGAGCCATAAAATAATAAAAAATAAATGAATTTACAGGTATTAAATTCCCCCAACTGTCATGCACAGTACTCATTTCTATATAACAACACATTTAACTTCCAAGGAAAGTCAGAGCAAATTTTCCTAGTTGAGCTAAAATGACCCAAAGAGCAAAAACAAAACCAAACAAAAAACTTTTATGTGAAACTTTAGCCAACCTTTTTTTTTTTTAAACTACCAATCAGAAGTACTCACACAGCGCTATTTTAGACCTTTAACTTCCTGTTTATCAATGTTTCACATTATTCACATAAAACAAAACAAAAGAAAACACTGAGATGTTGAGAGTGTGCTTCAGC